GCAAACTGCACCTGTTAGCCTAATTACTCACCAAATTTGTTGTCTTTCTTCCTCTTTTTTGGTTCAGGTTTTTCGACAGTCTCACCTACGTCTCCGTTTTCTTGCTGCTCCTCTGATTTCTCTGCCTGTTTTCTCTTCCTCCTCCTCTTCTTCTTCTTCTTGCCGTGTGATGGAGCTGCTTCTGTCTCACTGTCGCTGTCCTGCTGATGGCTGTCCCTCTTATACTCTGGTACCGATCCCAGCGTCTGCAGCGTCCGCAGGAGGCTCTTTTTACCGACAACCTTGGGCTGATCAGGGAAGTAAAATCAGATTAAACAACTAGTTTTACTGCTGCATTGTGTAACACAGAACAATTGCATTAAGATAAGCAGAAAAAGCCACTATTCATACAGCATCACACTCTGAAAATGAGCTTTTACTTGCTGTTATAATGCCAGATTTGCTCTGGAGAATAATAAAACTCCTGTACCTTGACATTTGTGCTGCTGGTCGCCTTCTGGGTGTTTTTGAGGACAGTTTTACTCAGAATTTGAGCGTCTTGTTCGTCACTCCAGTCTTCATCCTCAATGAACATGTTTCCTCGAGTACTGTCAGAAAAAAACACACACATACATCTATATAAACTCCTGCTGAAGAAGAGAAAGCCCTGACAGGCTCACTGCTTCTCTAGAAAAGAGCTAACTGCTAATTCAAACACTCACCAGTTCGTATCTGAGGCAGAAAAACGCGTTGATTCACTCGTCAAACGTTTTTTTCGTTGATGTTTGAAATAAAGTGTTTTATTTTATTAACATGTAACTACAATTAGTAGGTATAGAGTGTATTTGCTGTAAGTAAAAGCCACGTTGGTTTGTGTCATGCGCGTCCAGGCAGCAAAACAGAACTACTGGCGCATGTGAATGACGTAAGTACCCCAGAGACGTCTGGGATATGATGTTTTTTTGTAATGTTGCTCGAAGCCATAAAAACAAACTAACAGACCATTATTATTTATTTTTTAAAATGTTAATATAAATAAAATAATATACAAAATTATTTTGATTTGATATTACTTTAAATATTGTTTAAAGGACAATTAATAAAATAAGAATAATTAAATATTCTTCCCTCTCTTCATACATATGCTTTTTGTTTTTCCACTTTCATGTTTTATCCAACACTTTGTCCCTCATAAAACTCTATATAAGCTGATATTTTATGACTGAAATGACAAATAAACCTAAATTTAAACCTCACAACTTGTAAAAATGATTTCCAGCCTGAGGAGGCTGTTTTTTATGTTTGCACATATTCATTTTACAAGTCAAAATAACAAACCTCATATTACATCAAGGGCCAGAACGCTATAATAAGACATGAGCTGTGTAATGCTTTAAGGTGGATTTTCCCTTTTGCCTTTTTAAAACATCCTTATGAAACTGGACCTGTAACTAATATGCACTGCCTTTGGAAATTAGCTCTATTCTGGTCACATACAGCCAAGAGAATTAATGAAAAATACATGAAACTGGGCAAATCTAAGCTCCTGAACAAACTTTGTTTTAAGTATAAAAATGTAGGTATTCTGCTTAACTAGATACTTGATAAAACTCTTCCTGTGATACTGTGGTATTGAGCAGTTTTTGTGTTTTTCCAGCAGAAAAACTTTTTTAAAAAATCACTGTAGCCATTTTTAGCAAGTTGTATTTTTTTTCCTTTGCATGACCACTAATGTATTTTGTTATGAGTATACTGTTGTAGTTCAATTTCTGTCATGTAATGTGTTTTTAAAAGAATGAAAGTTGTGTATCTAAATCATACAGAGTGAAGGAGAGATACTGCAGGTCCTTCCTTCCTTCTGTTTCACAACCATCACCACACCCATAAAACCACATGTAGAAAAAACTGAACTCTGATGTTAATCAGTGCATTCATACTTGCATTGCCATTGTCTTCTGCATTTAGAAGAAAAAAAATCCCTGTGCAATACCAACGTTTCCTGTGTGCACCATGTGCAACCACTGCCTGCTTCACCTGTTGTTATCCTGTGTATTATTACATTGTGTACTTAAGAATATTTCTTGTTTAAGTTTACTTTTTTCAGATGTTTTTTGCCCTATCCTCTTTACTGTTGCAACACTGCAAATGTCCCTGCTGTGGGATTAATAAAGGATTATCTTCTAAACCAAACCAGGCACAAGAGAAGAAAATTAGCAATAGTTATAAACTCTCCGTGTAGCACATCAGTTTTCATGATCTGTGTTGAAACTATTTTTAACTCCATTGTCCCTTTCCAAAAAAAATCTATTCTATTCTAATTTAAAGGAAATGATTGTAGCTTGTTGTGATAATTTAAAGGGAAGGACAACATGATTACATATGTTTCCTCTTTCTGTAGTGGTCCAGGCCTATACTCCAAACTATGATTATATATTCATTGATTCATTAAATCTTTATTTAAGCACAGAGTACATTAAGGTATGAAGGCCTCATTTACAATGCAGCCGAGTGAGAGAATAAAAGATGTCGGCACACAAATAAACTCTGATAACAATAAAATATTAAAAGGCACAGTTTGTAAAATAAAAACACTAATTAGTGCATTTAAACAAACTTAAACAAGAGCAGCTGGAAGTTAAATGGGATGAAATTAAAAACCTGAACTGTGCAAAGGTTAAAAATGAGTCAAGCTTTAGAGTGTTATTCCATGTTGCAGGTCCACAGTGAATAAAACTGGATATTTTAAGTTCAGCAAAGACAACCCTCAGCATGATCCAGTCATTTGAGCATGTATGTATTTTCTATCAGTGGCCATCAAGATGTTTAGCTCCTGTTCTTTCTGCAGGAATGACAGCTAAAAATCGTTTGCAATATTACTTTTCTCAGTAGTTTCTGGAGGTTCAGTTTCCATATCATGTGTAGAATTTAATGTGCAATATATATTTTTTTTCATATCTTGGGTGCATTATTTTAGTTTCACGTGTAACATTTTCTTTTGCAACATTTTGATTATATCGACAATATTTCACTTTCATGTACAAAATCATCAGTGTAACATGCAATATTTCATTTTTATCTAATTTTTCGGGTGCAATATTTCATTATCTTGTGTCCTATTACCTCTTACCTCAGTATAACTGCCAGCATTACTGTTTACTGTATTCTCGTCTTGTTTTTGTTTACTTCTTTCATTCCAGTATTGTTTCATACGTCTGTCTGTTTGCTTTTCTCGTGTTCAGGCAGTGCATTTCTCATATTATCTCATTTCGTTTTTTTCTGACCAATATCTGGCACAATAATTTCCTTCAGGATGAATAAACTTTGATCTTATCTTAAAAACATGACCCGAGGCTGTGAATATTTGCTTTTTTGGCCTGTTGCAGTTCCGGGTGCGGCCTGTAGGGGGCGGGGGCGGGGGCGGCGCTCTGTCCGTCCGGTCAACGTTAGCACGTAGCACGGCGGCGCTGAGGGTGTGGACGTCCCGCAGCTCTCCGTCCACCGGAGGAAACACACTTCTGCTCTGTCTTTAACTCCTCCGCACCGCAACAGGCGAATATTTCAGGTAGGTTTGTCTCCACGGAGGCTGATTCTGCCTCAGTTTGAGTCGCTTCAACTGCAAAAATAATGACAGAAATCACCCAGTTTGTCAAATGAGAGAAACGGAGGCAGCTCGCGGCGTCTGGACAGTTGGTTAGCTTGTTAGCAAAAATCCTGCTCTCGTCTCCTGGTGTTAACTAAAGGATGTGGGTGTGTATGAACAGATAACCGAGTCTTTTCTGTTTTTGCTAATGTAATGAAAGTACCCGGTGCTGCTGCCAGGAGCTGAAGGAACAGCCAGCAAACTTAAATGAGCTCTTTCCCCCCCGGTGTTAGCTTTATAGCAGAGCAGCTAGTCAGGCTGCTGTGAGGGCAGTGACTTGTTAACAGTAGATTCATTACTGTCACACCAGTGTTTTATTAACTAAAGGCAGGGATAAACTCCACGAAACCACAAGCAACTACACTGTCTGGTTCTGTTATGCTCCTGGATTAATGGTGTGTTTAGTTAAAGTGCAGTTTAGTGCTTATCTCATTCAAAATGTGAGTTATTCCTTCACTGATTGTGTTTGTAATCAGTCAAAGCTGATCTCAGTTCTTTGTAACATCACATGTGTTCACCATGTTTCAATCTCCTGTCTTTGTTAATATCTTGCATTTAATCCTTTTATAAAGCCAACAAATAATTTCAACATAGCTTAGACTGTGCAAATATGAAGTCATTCACATCGTCTGCTCCTAATCAGTATCTGTTGTGTCAAAGAATGAGCAGTTTTACAGTTTGATAATCAAAGTTAGGCAGCAAATATCATCGTTATTACCATCATTTTTTCATTTTATTGTTTTTTTCATGGCTAAAGGTTTGCTCAGACTCTACAAAAGCTTGAGATCTCATCTTTAAATTGCTTGTTTTGACAGAGCAATGCTCCAAAACCAAAATGTTTTCAATTTTCATCGCTTAAGAGAAGCATTAAATCCAATGAATTTAAAGATGGAACCAGGAAATGTTTTACATGTGATAACTGACTTTAGCAACTGATCAAATATCAAAACAGCTGCAGATACAGTTTACGTCACTCAACAGAGATAAGTATAAATCCACCATGACCCTGAATGAAAACCCATATCTACCCTGTTGTGTGTCGGGTGCCAGTAACAGCCACGTTTTGTGAGTCACACTGCCGTAAACTGAACGCCCACCCAATATTACTAAGGTGGATAGGATTACTCAGCACGAGCTGTTCCTTGCTTTGTGGCTGTGTTGTTCTTAGGTTTGTACAACAGGATAAAATACTGGTTAGAACAGAGCTGGACTGATAGAAAAGCATTCCAGCAAAGCATCTTCACTGTGTTTGTCCCTTTACTTTTCAGGTTTGTGTGAGAGCCACTGAGTCTCTGTGATTGTGTCCCTCGGTGTCCCAGATGAGGGACTGATGCTGGGCAGGACTCGCCTCAACCCCTCGGGTCGCCTCTCTCGTCTGTCCCAGTTTAGTTCTACACCTTAAGAGAAGAAGAACACATCAGGAACAATGGACGATATCTTCACGCAGTGTCGTGAAGGCAACGCAGTGGCAGTCCGCTTATGGTTGGACAACACAGAGAATGACCTCAATCAAGGGTGAGCCACGGTTTATTTTCCAGTGTCAGTAGATGTTAATAGTGTCCAGAACTTACAAATCGACACTGTCATAGTCATTAAAATGTAATTAAATACTTTGAACGCGTGAATGCAAAATGAAAATTACTCATGCCCCGAGGCATGGCAGAGTCTTGTTGTTATTAAGGGTGTTTTTTAATTTGTTTCAGCAAACATTCAAAAACAATCACTTTCTGATGCACTTATCCAGTAATAATATCACACTAATTGTGGCCTAATTAGATTGTTTTCTTTCTATACAAATTGTTCAGACAGGATGAAGAACAATCAAAAGTTTTTGTTTTTACATTCTCTTAAGATTCTTTTTCTTGCGTCAGAACTTTTCGACCAAAGTTTCCTTTGCACAGTTGTACTTATTTGCACGAGACTTGCCACAACATGAATTTGTGATGCCAGATAACATGGATCTGAAAGAAATATGCAGTGTCATTGCTTACTTTAAATTCTGCATTCTTTAACCCGTGTCCTGGTGCAGGCTGAAAGCCCGCCTTTTCAGTCCCCGGTGAGATTGTGGCCTGAGATTGAACCCATTTCCTTGTGGGTGCATGTTTATGTCCAGAATGCCAGCGGAGTAATTCAAAAGCGTGATGTTGGACAGGAAGCATGCTGTGATGGCACAGTTAGTCACGCTTACAGTTGTTGCTGTGATTAAATTCAGGCTCCACAGACATAAAAAAAGAGCTCTGGACATAACTTTGGGAATGTATTAATGCAAGGTTTTGGTTCTGAAAATACTTCAGGCTTCTGTAACTCTTAATTAACACGTCTAGTGTGCAGAAATTACTATGTGATGGTTACAGTCAACAGTTCCTAGCTGCTTTGTCTTTTGTCCTCAGCTGACACTGTAAAGAAAAACTTGGCAGAGCCTGCCAGTCCAGTGCTGATGGCCACCCACGAGTCTTGTCTTTTTATTGCCTTTGTCCTAGAATTAGACTACCGGTATTTGTTTTCAGAAAAAACAAAGAAAGAATGAATTAATCCATTTAATTATGAAGGCTGTACATGTTGGCCCTGCTCCCTCTCTGGGTCTTTTCTCTCTGTTTTAGTGCATTTATGGTACAAAGATTGAGCACTTTGACACCCAGGTTTATACAGAAACAGTGATTAATTTGCAAAAGAGGTTGTTGTCAAGTTCCATCAGTAGAGCCTTTGTTTGTGTTCATTTCCTTTCAAAAGTTTTGCAAAGTTGAACATATAAAAGATCAGTTAATATGCACCATGGTCTAATTTTATATTTAATTAACACGAGAAAATGATTCATGTCTTTGAGTGAGAGGCGTAAATATGATCATAACTGGATGTAGAACATTATAGACAAAAACCTCTACATAAAAACTTTATCATACATTTATAACCGTATTATAATTTTCAAAAATAGCTTTTAAAATATGATGATGAAGACATAGCACCACCAAAGATGGCAGAAATCCTTCTTTTGTTGCAGTTTTGTTCCCTTGTTTCGCTTTAGTGCAGAAATTGCAAGGCTTTTTTTTCTTTATTTTCTTTTAATTCATTTTATTATCCTCGTCTTGTGAGCCTGTGCGATTGCATTGAGCCAGTGTGGACGCATGCATTCCCACATGTGACTCGCCCATTAGCTGATTACATGTCAAGTTCCCTTTTCCGGTTGATATATCTCCCCTCAGTGGGTGAAACACATTTCTTCTTGTGCTTTCTTTTCCCCTACAGAACCTCCAATCCTTCCTTTTCTGTATCTTAGTAAACCTCTCTGTACTCCGGCCTGTCAGATCCTCACTGTAACATTATCTGTGCTGCTCGATGACAGTGTGTTTACACTGATGTAACTCCCAGACAAAGAGTAGTAGTGGAATGCTGAATCTCCTTACAAGGAGCAACACAGGGGCCTCAAGGGACCCATCTACCACCTACCAAAACTAAAAGAGAGGGGGAGGAGATTGTTGTAGTGGGCAGGACTGGAGCAGACAGACTATCTTTGTGTGTGTGGCCAAATAGTGAATTTTTCGAAAGAGGAATGCACAGTTAAGCCATAGCAGGGCACATCATCTTCCCCTCCTCCACTGATATGTTTCCGGTATTTGTCTCCCAGCGGTATTAGATAGCTCCACTCATTTCCCCTCCATGCTTCCTCCGAGTTTTAGAAGACCTAATTGCAAAGTTTAAAACATGCTCGCCCAAATCGTTGCAACGTAATCATCATCTTGGGTCTTCTCCAAAATGCTTTCACTGCCACTTCACTGGTTCGTGCGTAACGTCGGCACAAGTTCTGGTTGAAAATGAGCACGAAGGAAAATGTGTAATTTTGAATTTTAAAGCTATTTGATGTTTAAATCCAAATGTTCTGTGGAGTTGAATAACAGTTAATCTGATGGTTATTTTCTAAAGTTGCTGATTATAATGTAACCGTCTTGTCTCGAGCGGCAGCAATTAATCTATTAATTACAACTATTAAATCATTCAGCAACCATTTTGATAATCAGTTCATTAGTTTGAGTAATTTTTTAAGAAAAGAAAGTAAAAATTCTCTGATTCAGTCCTTTTAAATATGAATATTTTCTCATTTCTTTAGTCCTCGGTGATAATAAATGAAACATCTTTGTGTTGTGAACAAAACCAGACATTTGAGGGCATCGTCTTGGCCGTTAAGAAACAATAATCAACATATTTCTCTGTCTTCTACCTTTTTTTTTGAGGCAATTAATCGATTATTCAAAAACATAATTGACAATGATATTTGTCAGTTGCACAGCAAGTGGTTGAACAATCCAGAGAATGACCTCAGTCAGTTTTTTAGTGTCAGTAGGATGTTAATGGTGTCCAGTAATTACAAATCACCTCTATCATAGCCACTGAAATGTAATTAAAAAAGTCATTTGAATGCAGGAATGCAATATTAAAATCACGCATAACCGAGGCACGGCGTCGAGTCGTGTTATTATTAAGGGAGTGTTTTAATTTGTCTCTGCGAAAGGTGCAAAAAATAATTACTTTCTGATGCCATTATACAGTAATAATATCACAATAATTGTAGCCTAATTAGCTTGTTTTCTTTTTAAACAAACTATTAAAAGAGGTTGAAGAATAATCAAAAGTTTCTCACTGGGGGTCCTCTCTCTCGTGTCTTTGTTTTGTAGCCACAGATTGTTTGTGCACAGTTGTAATAATTTGCATGGAGACTCACCACAACATGAATTTAAATAGTTGCAGCTTCAATCTTGTCTGTAAAACATCATATAATAGTGAAGAATGTCAATTATACTTTCCCAGAGCCCGTGGCGATGTCTTCAGATTGTTTGTTTTGTCCACATGTCAAGCTAAAGAGATTCAGTTTATCACGTATGACAAAGAAAAGAAGCAAATCCTCGCATTTGAGAAGTTAAAAATAAGAGCATATGTGGCTTTTTTGATTATTGAAAGAACTTACATGATTAACAGTGATCAGTACAGTTGCTGATAAATTGTCTGAGGATCTATTAATCGATTGAATTGTTTCACTTCTAAATGATTAAGTTTATAAAAGTAATCACAGTTTATTTTAACGGTGTATAGTTCCATCTGTCCTTGCCTTACATTGTAATATATTAACATCTTTAGGTTTTAGACTGTTTTCCTGCTCTTTAAAAACTGTGATGTGCATCTTTCTTGACTATTGTCAACATTTTAAGGAGCAACTTAATGGAGAAAAAAGCTGCATGATAACTGATAGTGTCGTCATTGTTTGTTGTTGTCTTCATTGTCAAAAAATAGTGTTTATTACAAATGTGTAGGGTGATTAGGCCCTGTGTGCGACAGCTGTTTCTCACAATATCTCAGTTGTGTTGTGTTTAGAGTCAAATAGACGGCTGACTTCTCTGCTCTTGTATTTTCTTTGGCCTATGAGGTTGTAATCGTGGCTTTGATGGTTGTCTCTATTTAGCTCCTCAAACTGTGCATCTAAAAGTAGCCCCGTACATGTGTGAATAATAGTTTGAGTCGAGCACTTTCTCTGCACTCGTGATTGTCAGTGACAGTAATGGGCAGTAATTGTATGTTGTGTTGTTAAGGCTGAGGCTCCGTGTTTGGGAAGGAGGTGGATTTACTGGGTGAATACTGATTCTAACCTCTTCAGTCGGGGCAGCACTGAGAGTGTGTTGCAAGCAGACTGAGGTTCAGAGGCTTGTTCAAGCAGGTAGTGATGGATTCAGAGGAATGAGTCGACACAGATGATCAGGTTTAATACGTGTCTGACGCTGCTGAATTATTACTGTTTGCACTGATAAGGAATTTTTTGATAGGCAAGTTTTGAAAAAGAAGAACTTCAGTTATATCGACAGAGACACGGTGCTGTTTGGACCAACTTGGGCTCAGTTTAAAGCTGCAACTATCTAATCAACAGAAGATTACTTGGCTACTACTTTGATAATTGATTCATCATTAAAGTAGTTTACAAGCTGATGGTTCAGACTGCTAACAGTTAGACCAGTCTGTCTTTACTCTGCCCGTTTTAGACATGCATTCCTGTTGTTAATCTGATGGCATCTGAACAGATTGGCTTCATGTCTGAATGAGCACTTTGGACACTTTTCTGTAACAGTGGTGACGGCAGTCTTAGCAAAACAGATCTGGTAACAGTTTAGTACCACTTTAAACACAAAAGTCTGAACTTAACAGATAGACATGCACATGATCACTGGATATGCCACTTTATATCCAGTCCACTCTCGTGCATATGGCAAACTTTACTTTCTCTCTCTCCATCTCTGCCATGAAGCCATGTGAACTATTAACCAAAAAATGACCCATGTCTGATGCTGTCACTTTAACAGCTTCACAAAGCCAGAAATGTTGCATATCCCCATGTCTGAAAAAGGCTATCGTCTAGCAATATAGGGCATTAAATGTTTTGGAATTGGTTGGACAAACCATTTTAAATCACCTTGATCATTCACACACATTGTCACGGTTTCATAGATCAAATAATTAACTGAGAAAATAATGAAAATACTTGTTAGTTGCAGTCCTACATCAATCCCATCTGCTGCTATTGTCAGGCTGTTATTCAAGTGTACAGGCATTCTAACAAGGCTTACATTCGTAGCTTTAATGCCATTATCACAACTATAATGATGAAGTAATGTCCACATTATTCAGATGATGATATTACCCACAGACACAGTGTGAATCCCTGCTGGCTGTAGTAGCTCTCCACATGTACTAGAAGTCCTACAAGGTTTTTGGAGTAGTTACGTTACTTCTGCAAAATCCTGCAAAAAAAAGTAGTTTCTAAACTGTACAGACATTGTTTATTCTGCTTCTTTTCAGTTGATAGATGTTTGTGTGGATGTGTTTTCCGTTAGCTGAGGCCTGTTATATGACCTGGCGGGGATGTCGATGCACAGACGTACAGAGTGCAGACAGGGGCTCTTCCTGTGGCTCCCCAGTCTGCCAAACTGAGCTCTGCTGGCAGGTGGAAGTGCCTGAAATAAATGACCACAGTCAGTGTGGAGAAGGGGGGGAGCAGGAGAAAACCCTGGCACTCAAGTGCCCCTGGGTTTGGTGGATGAAGTTAGCTTAAAGGGAAAATCCATCCTGTATAAAGTGCCCCTGGAATAGAAATACACGGAGACACCAGAGGGCTGAACCTCGCTGCATGTGACCACAAAAGTCCATTTCAGCAGTTTTATGTGGATTGGAACCTTTTTTTCTTTGTTATTAAGCAATAACCATCAAATAATTACCCGTTAGGGCTGAGTGATCTTTTACAAGCTCTGCAAAAGTAATTTGCAATGTGTGTTGTGGTGGTAAAAAAAAAAAAAAAAAAGTTAGAGTCATTTCTCAAGATAGATTCACACAAGAGGAAAAAATTAGACAAACAAATCCAAAGTTTAATAGAAGATGTAAAAATCCTCAGATAATACCTGTAAGCTTGTTTGTTGTTGTTATTGAATCCAAAATAAATCAGTCTTTTGTGCCAGTTCGCCAGCATGTTATTTTCTAAATGCACGAGTATAATTTAGGTTTTCATTTTCTGTTCCAAGTGAAATGGATTATACACTGTGTCTGGTGATTATTTTATTATATCCATTAAAGTTGGACAATTGCTGATGGAAACAAAATTGCTGGGGGAAAAAACACGCTTTATAAGCCTATTTATTGATTTTATGGCTTTATAGTAGCTGTGAATTTTGTTTCTTAATTTGAAGGCATTGGGGATTTTCTGGCTGAGTGAGTTGATATTTGCAGAGCTTCAGCTGATGATTGTTTTCTTTATCCGATAATGTGCAGATTATTTTGACAATCAGTTTTTCCACTTCACAGTTATTCGCTTGGCTGATTGTCCAAAGTTACATCCTCCGATTTCTTGTAAAAATGATGTAACAGAGAAAAACAACAAATCCTCTCATTAGAGAAGCTGGAATCAGAGATGACTCGAGTTTTTGATTAAAGACTTCCAGCTCAAATTAAGAACAAACACTGACTCTTAAGTTCATAAAGAGCAGATCAGTGTTGCTTTTGAAGATTACAAGCATTAGCTTCTGAACTCCACCTACTCCCCCAGACTGATTAGGGTTTCACACTGAAAGCTAATAAACTCATAGGAGTGAGTCTGTGGGGAGTTTTTCTCCCATAAAGTTGGGCTAATTAGTTTTTAGGATTTGGCCTGTTGGTCTGAGAGGAAATTGCACTCAGAGCAGATCTGGTATGAAGGAAGCAGTTCGCACAGATAGATGTGTGTTGTGGGACTGAGGGTCTCTGTGGGACTCTTGATGCTGTTTTGAGCCGAGCCCTGCAGGATGCGTGAATACAAGCCAGTGAATTGATGCTGCTGGTGGTGGTGGTGGTGGGGGGCAGGGGGGGCTCAAATTCCTGCAGATTCATAATACTCCCTCAGTTCTCAGATCCTATTATTATGCTGTCTGCCTACTCATAATTTCAGAACAAGTGCATAACTTTATTAGCAGGAGGATTGTGCAGTGTCTTGGTGCAAACAGTGAGGCTCACATGCAGCATGGAAAGTAGAATATATCATCAGTGCAGTGATGTACAGCAGATGAGGGAGTGGAGAGACTCTGCAGTGGGAGTGAACTTGATCAGAGAGGAGGATGTGACCACGGAACGTAACATGACAGTCGCACACAGCAGCTGGAGTGTGTGTGTGTGTGTGTGTGTGTGTGTGCGCAATACTGCTGGGTGGGACTTTCTTCAGCCTTTTCCTGATTGACTCTCTGTCATGCAGCTCTGCCCACGTCTTAATCTATCAGTCTTTATCTGTTTTTCACCAAGGAGACACTCTATCATGTAATCGAGGCCGCTGTCCTACATGTGTCGCAGCCGGTGTCACAGTGACACGGAGGAATGATGAGGTCCATTAGCCGGTGTTTCATTCTGAGTTGCATCAACTTCCTTTTTAGATGACAGAAGTGACAAATTCCGCTTTATGCGCTCGCACAGCTGAGCTTCACACTACAGCATTGACTAAAAATGCTGATTTAGTTTTAGATAAGTTGACAGGTTACTGGGTGGAACTAGCGGAGATAAGTTTATATAATAATAATAATTTAGTTATGTTTTATTGACTTAGCTTTATGATCATGTTGATGGCTGCAGTGTGCACTTCCTTCTTTTATGTTACACTGACAGATGTTTCTACTATTTCGGTGAGCCTCACTGGATTTTTCAACGCCCCACATAAGGGTTTAGGCAGTGCCAAAGAAAAACCCTAGAGAGGAATCGTAATTTTAAAAAAATGGATCTATTTTTACCCCTTTTTTTGTTTACTGAAGCTCACTGTACATTTTTGCTTGTCAAATTGCCAATAATAACAGGAAAAGGCAGCGATTTCTGTCCAAAAAGTAAGAGGCTTATGCGTTAACTGTGTGTGGAACGTTCTCTCTGAACTGTGTTGTCGGGAAAACCCTGCTATATATTTTTTAAAAGCATTTAACACTGTAAAGTGGCGTATTTGAGCAGCACTATAACTAACTGCCAACATGACAGTCAAATCAACATGTTACAGCCTTCATGAATGTAAGATTCAATGCATTACGAGGTTGGAAACTTTCAGCTTGGCGTAGCTAATGTTCTGGTAATTCAGTGTGTTTTAAAGTTTTATGAATTCAAGTCGCTCATGGTCTGTATTCAGTGTAAAACAGCTAATTACACGATATATATTTTTATGTTGACCACCCAGTTTGCTCTGGACTGCGCGCCTGTTGTTTTTTGAAAAGTGATATTTTGATCGTCAAAGTAAAACACACATGCGCCCAAAAACAGCCCCAGTCTGTACCACTTGGCCGTGTGCCAGTCACACCACAGAGCTGTTTGCATGGAAAACTTTCATGTTTTCTCCCTTAAAGTCTTACTCAGCGGCTTTTCCTGCCGTTAAACCCTTTGCTGCGCTGAAGGATTTTTTTTGTGAAACCTGTGCTGAATGTTAACGCTCCTCTATCACTGCAGAGATGACCACGGCTTCAGCCCCCTGCACTGGGCCTGCAGAGAGGGTCGCTCCAGTGTGGTGGACATGCTCATCATGAGAGGAGCACGCATCAACGTCATGAACCGGGGAGACGACACGCCTCTGCACCTGGCTGCCAGTCACGGACATCGTGACATTGTGGGAAAGGTAGGTTCATGTAAACACAAAGGCACGGTGAGGCTGGAAAAGGTTCCTTCCTGGTTCCTTTTGTGTTCCTGTATCTCAACAGTAGAAACGACTGTGAGAATATTTGCTTTCTCCCTGCCATTAGAGCATGGCTGAATATCTGTGGCCTATATTCTGAAATGCAGCCCAGCGAATATGTCAGATTAAACCTGAGAACCTGTGTCAGAAGCTGGTGAGAGAGAAGTCAGACGACAGACCGTCTCTCATGCACAAGTGTCAAACGCATAATAATAAAATAATACATTTTATTTCTGTAGTGTCTCTGAAAAGTGCAGTTACAAGGTGCTTTACAAGAAAGAAACAAACAATAGAACATTTATAAACACCATAATAAAACATGAGGAAATACAAAATAGAATATTATACAAATGAGAAGCTTGTTCCACGACGTTGGGACAACAAAACCATAAAAGCATGGTCCCCCTTTGTTTTAGGCCTGGACTGGACAATATTTAACAAGTCAATTGTGATCTGAGGTGGTTTGAGTGCAGAATAAAGGGTTAAAAGTAAAGAAATGCAAAGCACAGCCAGACCATGCAGACATTTAAAACAGAAATGAATTCGGTTACAAATGGAGCGCCAGTATAGACCCAGGAGTGGAGTAATGTGTTTCCTGTGTTGAGCATTCGTAAACAGTCGTCCTGCTGTGTTTGAAATCAACTGAAAACAGGCAATTGCTGTGTTGTTAAGGCAAGTGAATAGTGAGTAATAATAGTCCAAGTGAGTGAAAAAAAAAGGGTGTGGATAAGTTGTTCCGCTGTGTTTTGAGGGAACATTGGTTGGATGTTTTCTGATTTGTAGATGGCAGGATCGAAGCAGAGTCTTCATGTTGGTGATTAAAGTTGAGGCCGTGATCAAAAACAACTCCCCAGTTGTCAAAACGATGCTGTATCTCAGCAGGTTTGCTTCATAAACACAGGATATTGTGAAACCTGACGTGATGTCATCTGAACAGCAATTATAAATACAAACGTCTTGCCCGTTCTTGTTGTTTCACCACCAGATAAGACCTGCTTTCTGCTACACTCGTTAAGGGCAAAACAAGCTGGTGTTCTGTGAAAGCTGGTGTTCTCCTCAAACCATTTGGGACCAAGTTAAATAATTGATCACTTAAAGGCACAATTTATACACAATTAGTAGCTGAAATGCAAGTGGCCAGTACATATATTCTTCTCTCAAGCTCCGATGCAGCATATAAAACTGCATTGTGTTTCTCTTGAAGACATATTTTGTGGCTTTATGTCCATTATCAGCTGGATAACTGTCAGACATGCAACATGCAGTTTGCCATATAGCTGTAAATGTCATGTAGCAGGTTTTGTAAAGCAGCTCTGGTTTGTCAAACAGAGCAACACAATGTAAACTGTTTGATGAATGTTTTTTGTTTTTAAAGAAATATAACAATAATTTATCTGTCAGTGTTGCTCAGAGTACTGTTGCCATAATGTGAGGCTTCTGCTGCAGGATGTCTGATTTAGAATAGCTGCCAGGCAGTTTTTCGAGTTTAATATTAGGCATGTCTCAATGCCTCTGGTATGTGTCCACAGGCAACACAACCTTCCACCATTTTTCTTGGCAGCAACAAGACTCATCTTCTGTATACAGCCCAAACAAGATCTGACCAGCCTTGCTTTGCATATAATCCTTTGTTTCTCTTGCTTTCAGCTGATCCAGTGCAAAGCAGACACCAATGCAGCCAATGAACACGGGAACACACCACTGCATTACGCCTGCTTCTGGGGCCAAGACCAAGTGGCCGAGGTTAGTGCGCCCCCTGGTGGTGCTTAAGACGAGGCCGTTTTATTTCTATTAACCTTCTGAACTCTAAGTGGTTTATGTGTGTGTTTTTTTTTGCTCCTTTCATTCACTGTGGACTCATTTTTCACTGCAATATAAAGTCTTGCACCTCTGAATTCTCTCTACTTCTAGCCATGGGAACAGCACAGCCATGGCTAAGTAGAGAGAGCTCAAAAATGTTGTTGGTGCAGAATCACTGAGTTATGATACTATAAATCATTTTTAAAAGACTTCAGTTGAATTTTTTGGATTATTTTACAAGGACTGAAAAAAACTTGGAATCACCTTGTCAGTATGAGCAACATTATTTCAAGTGGTCACAGATGTTAGCGGTGATGGGGAAAAGTACTGTAGATATTTTATAACACATTTGTTTCCATTCTTGTCCCCAAAGTGGAATGCCAAAAAAAATGGCAACTTTCTAAAAGTTAACATGCTTTTCAAAGTCAACAGCAGGTTTAGGCATTCAGAGGGTTAAAATCTAGCTGACAGCTCATTCCCTCTTTCAGGACCTTGTGACTAATGGGGCTCAGGTGAGCATCTGTAACAAATATGGGGAGACTCCCCTGGACAAAGCCAAACCTCACCTGCGTGAACTCCTCAGAGGTATCCCAACCGCCCGTCACAACTCAATTTTTCCCCCAGTTTTAAATAGATTTCAGGATCAATCATACATCTTCATTTCTGTTTTCCTTTTTTCTCCACCACCAGAAAAGGCTGAAAAACTGGGACAGAACTTGACTAAAATTCCCTTCAAGGACACATTCTGGAAAGGCACCACCAGGACTCGACCCCGTGAGTCCCAGCACCACATAAATCAGTTTATTAGCTGACCCGTTTCCATCCGTTGGTTTTGGTCAAAGTGCTGCACGAAAAGGAAAAATGTTCCGTGCTGGCCTCCCAACTCCCAACTACTGCGGCTTTTGAAATTTCCACCACTTTGCTGTCGGCTCGTTGGTCTAAATTTCACATACATAACAGGGATTTTGTCTGAGCTTTAACTTGTCACTTACGTTTGTTTCCATCTTGTGTTTTTTAGGCAATGGCACTTTGAACAAACATGCAGGCGTCGACTACAAACAGCTTTCTTTTCTCGCTAAAATAAATGAGAACCAGTCTGGAGAGGTACTTTTTTATTCTTGTTGTGTTTTTATTGTGTTTGATATTCATGCAGAACTTCACTTATTCTTTATTTCTCATCCATAGTTGTGGCAAGGGCGCTGGCAAGGAAATGAAATTGTTGTTAAGGTGCTAAAAGTTCGTGACTGGACCACGAGGAAAAGCAGAGACTTCAATGAGGAATATCCCAAACTAAGGTTATTATTTGATTTGGACTTTTCTGCAGCTTCTGTCCTTTTTTGCTGCGTTGTCCTTCATTTGTCTGTTTGCATTGCGTTGAACCGAACTCTGTGTGTTATTTATTTTGAGGGAAGCTGCATCTCATACAAGACGTCTGTTTATGTCAAATCCTCTGTGGGTTTGCCTCTTTCTTTTGTCTGTCTGTCTGTCTCTCTCCCCCCCCTGTCTGTCCCTCTTGGGCTTCATCCCAGGATATTTTCCCACCCGAATGTCCTACCCATGTTGGGAGCATGTCAGTCTCCTCCCGCCCCTCACCCCATCATCATCACACACTGGATGCCTTATGGCTCCCTCTACAACGTGCTGCATGAAGGCACCAGTGAGTACTTCTACTCTGGTCACAAGGTCCATGCTTGTCACCGGTTTTGGTGATTTGCAGGCGTTTTGTGATTTATTGCACTTAGGCATTTGTCCTTTTGTTGCCATCACTTTTTCTACAGCAGCAATTTCACTGTCATCCTGTTATGCGGTGAAAGAAAGAGCCGCTTGAACCTGTTATTACTTGTTCCTCTCCCTGCTGTCAGACTTTGTGGTGGACCAGACGCAGGCAGTGAAGTTTGCGCTGGACATTGCTTGCGGAATGGCTTTCTTGCATACACTTGAACCCATGATTCCTCGCCATTATCTCAACAGCAAGAGCGTAATGGTAAGAAGAACTTATGGCTTCATCGCAGCTTTGCAGAATCATAAATCTGTCATATTGTCTCGCACAGTGACAGACTTACCAAAGGAAACTGTGTTGCCTAAAAAAAGCTGCAAAAGGAAGTGGTGTCCGCCACACTTTCAAGTGACATCTCAGTCAGTGTTCTTGTTTCTACAGATAGATGAAGACATGACAGCGAGGATCAGTATGGCAGACGTCAAGTTCTCCTTCCAGTGTCCTGGCAGGATGTACTCGCCTGCATGGGTAGCCCCCGAGGGTAGGCATCACTCATACAGCACAGATCTAAACTGACAGCTGAAGCCACACAAGCTCGAGCGTGAATGATGGATGTGGGGGGGAACTCCAGACTGTCTCTGAGCCAAATGTAATCTACGGCCGATTTTCTCTTGAGATACACTGAAAACCAAGCAAGCTGGAAAGATAAACTGATTAAAGAATGAGAAAGTAACCAGGGAGCTTCTGCAACAGCGATTCAAACAGTAGCATCAGTCCACAGAGAAGGTTTACAGAACAATGAGTGGAGCATGGTATACAGGAGCTTTGTCACCACCGGTTACCATAGAAACAGTATCCATACTGTGTATATACAGTGGGTTGAGAGCGTTGCATTTGATAATTTGGTTTGCAAAGAAAATTGACCTAAATTTTCAATTTCTGTTGCCCCCTTTGTCTGTAACCTGCTCTCCGTGTTTGTGATGTGAACTACAGCATATCAAAGATCTTCACTTTATCTCCATCCCCGAGACTCAGTTTCCATAGCAACGTACACAATATAGCTGCGAGATCAGAGACGAAAAGCCCACAGGACTCTTCTGTGGGTGTTATGGTTATCAAGCACTTCTTAGAGCGCTTCATGAAGAACTAAGAGACTCTTAGTTTACCACAGTAGCCGTGAAATGTAATGTAATCATTTCATCATGACGAGGCTTTAAGATTTAGGACCTAAGTAAGTGTGTGACTTCTGGTTGACCCGCATAAACTGCTTTAAAGGACCAGTGTGTAGGATTTAGGGCGCTTTACTATCAGGAATAAACGTAATTATTCAAATGATGCTTTCATTGGTGTGCAATCACCTAAAAATAAGACTCATTATGGTTTCGTTCGCCTAGAATGAGTTTTTTATAATAACTATACTTAGGGAGCGGGCCTTATTCCACAGAGCCTGCCATGTTGTGCTGCCATGTTTCCACCATAGCCTGGAACAAACAAACCCAGCGCTGGCTTTAGGAAAGGTTTTGCAATCTGCAAAATCACTGGTGTGTGCTCTCAAGTCCTCCACAGTGGTTCAGTTCCTCCATAAAAGAGCTGCTCAACTAAAAGCAATCTGTGTTCAGACGTTATTAGTTTTAGAAATTTTGTACAAAAAAAAAAAAGTTCAGGCTGAAGCTAAATATATATTTAAATAATAAAGCACATGTACACAACTGTGTTCAATTATAGATGTTGAATAGTCTTAAAACTTGCGTATTTACTGCATTTTTAGCAGAAAGTAGTATAGAACAGCTATTTATCAACCAGAATGATGATCGGATCCAATATTCAGCTTTTTTTTTTTCAATTGTTAGTATTGTTTTTTTCTAATAAAAGAAACTAATCTTAAAAATGAGCTATTTTGGCTCTCAGACAGTTGATTCTCTATCATCAGTGTCCTGCCCACAACATTATCTCACTGGTTACACGTAATGAATAATAGCCAATCAACACTGAAGGATACATTTTGAAATGCTGTCTTTAATTAAACATACATAAAACTAAAATAAGCAAAGGCAAAGTTTTGTGCTTAAGTTTGTTTTATTCTATATTCTGCTTTTTGCTACAAATGTAAATCATTTCCAAATATTTCTGTTTCTTCTGTTAATAATCTATATCGGCAACAACATTGGAAAAAAATACAGATTGGTGGACGCCTAGAAAGTGGAGCGACACAGTGTATGTAGTTTATTTCACTGTATAACGTTCACTTGTTGCTCTTCGTGTGGCTCAGCTCTGCAGAAGAAGCCGGAGGAGATCAACCGTCGCTCAGCAGACATGTGGAGCTTCGCCATCCTGCTGTGGGAGTTGGTGACCAGAGAAGTGCCGTTCGCTGACTTGTCCAACATGGAAATAGGCATGAAGGTCGGTTGGACAGTTATTTATTTATTATATTATTATTAATAGCTTGCTGGCCAGGCTCTTAATTACTACCTATTAGTGTTACGTATTCAGTAATGCCGGTCTGTTCTGTGCTTCAGGTTTCCTTGGAGGGTTTGAGGCCCACCATCCCTCCTGGCATCTCCCCCCACATTTGCAAGCTCATGAAGATATGCATGAACGAAGACCCAGCAAAGAGGCCGAAATTCGACATGATTGTGCCAATTCTGGAAAAAATGCAGGACAAGTGAAAACCCATCTCCAGCCCTCGTTTATTGAACCGACAGATTTATTTTTGTTTTTTTTTTTTACCCCAGATATGACTCTGATATGGTGGTGTGGTGCTTACCAGTATTGCCTTAAACTCTTACTCTACCGCTGCATTCGACGCCACTGTAGCTTCTGCTTCTGAGATGAGTCCAGCAGCAGTCACTTCTTTTATATTGTTTTTTTTTTTCAGTGTATATCAAGTTTTTATTACTGTCTTCGTCACTGATCTGCTGATACTGTCTCGGAGCCTAGTAGCGAATGTTCATCCTCTAAACCGTAATTGCGTGGACTGAGTACAATCTTCTTCAAGCGACCGAATAGCCTGTGGAGGTCAGCATGACAGTACTGGATTGCTCCGGTTAATTTAAGGCCTTATTTTATCCAGAGAGGGCTCAACCGTTAAAGAGTCACCTTCTAAGGTTACTGCTCCTTTTATACCGGCGGCTCGTAATAATAACATATTAACCCAAAGCGTGTCTTATGGGGGAAAAAAAAAGGTTTATGTTTGTCATTATAGGAGCGACGTAGAACAGGGGCAAGCATGACAAATGTCTGAAACAGAGCATTTAAACATGTATAGTTGATTAAACTTGATATGAATGAGCGGTGCCCTTGAGTGCAGCAGCAGCGTTGTGCCATTCAGCTTGGCTGTGTAGTGATGATGAGCTTATCTTTGGTCCCTGATTGTATCCTGTACAACCTGCTGACAACTATTTAAAACTGGCCTTACACACCTTTTCGTGCTGCAAAACTGTCAGTGTTGATATTGAAAGATTACATTCACAACGCAAGATTCTCTCGTCTATTGTATTCATGTAATCCGCTAGATTACTTATTGTGATCATCTAATCTAGTCTATTTTCAGTCCTTTCCCTTCAGTCTTTAATACACTATTTGAATTCCGTTAGCGCTGCTGTTAATTAAAGAGAAAAGGCAGCCTCTGTCAACATGTCTCAAAGTGTTTAACTCAGATGTTATTTTCATGTTGAATACTGGAACTGTCTGAAGCCCAACATGTAAAGGCTCGTTTTCCTTGTAATGTGAGGAATGAATACCGCAGCCCACACGGTAATTTATTCACGGATAACACAGGTACAGTTATAATTAGTTGCTCCTAGTTTTATGGTTATATCAGAGGCTGTAACATTAAGGGGTGAAATCAAGATTGTGCACAGTGTTACATAGTCGTCTCATTTTTGTTCTTTGGTCCTGACTTTATATCGATCTCATGGGTTGTTCCTCCCACCTGTATCAGTTCTGTGCCTCCACCAGCTTGCTTGTTTGTGCCGAATCACAGGTTGAAGCCAAAATCAAGAATGACTTATACAAATGTATGTATTTATATATAAGTATATTAAAAATGAAACATGGACAACTTGAATGTGTACATTTGTAGTGGGAAGTGGACATCACTGGGTTATTAAGGAAATGTGTAAACTCTCTAAATGAATAAAGGCTTTAAGTATTGGAGTCATTGACTTCTGATATTTACCTTGAAGGGAATAACACAAGGTTACAAATATACAGTTTGTAGGACATACAAAAGATTTTTTTTATCTGATTGTTGGTCCTGCACTCACTGACTAGTGGTAACATGCAGTAATAATAACAATGCATTCATTGATTGTTATTCAAGTAACTATAAAAATGCTAGATTAACATTTCATAATAGAAAATAAAGTTAAATATTATGTAAAGTGTCATGGAACTTATAATTTGTTTTAGAAATACATATCTTCCTTTACCATCATTACCAATGAATCAAAGGCCATTTGATCAATAAAGAATTCTCCTGTTTCAGAAGAGTGGCCTAAAATTGCCCTTTTAATCACTAAGATTTCATTTAAACTAAATAAATTTGTGGCTCATGTACTCAAATAGTAGACCTTTATTTTTTGGATGCATGTTAAGTTCAAAAACGATAGTCCTAGTTATAGCTTTATAACTTGATATTTCATAAATATATTCGTGGGACTTTAAATCTCCTATTTTTGTGTATTTATAAGTGAGTTTGTGTTCTATAACGATCAGAATGAACTTAATTTGAGACCAACTTTTTCATACATTGATACTTTGAAATTATTTCATCCCAAAATTTAACTTTTGCTAAAATAATGTGGTTCCACTTTCTGAAAGTCACTCTAACAAAAGTTCACAAATTGAGACTAATGGTCTTATTAATGATGAATAAATGCCCTGTTTACCAGCTAAAACAGTGAGAACAGCTTTTAGGTTGCCAGCTTGTGAGAAGAATTAATTAAAAACAAGATATTCATTATTATACATTGAAGTTAAATAATGAAACGATGATCACCAGTTTGTAACTTTCTTATATGTCAACAGCCAAAGTTAGTCAGTCGGCTGCCCTTATAAATGTAAAATTCATCATCAATAAACATAATAAAATTATAGTTTAATTAAAGCGAAGACGTGAAATTTGATTTATTCAAGTGAGGTGCTTGATTTCTTTCTCCTCATACTTCTTTATACTTCTACTCTTCTGCATTTTAAATTGAATTATTGCACTTTTCCCTCTATACAATTAACTGAAGTTCCTCATTTTTAAGGCAAAAAACTTTACTGTCTTCATAATAACACTTTGTTTTAGGTTAAACTACCCAAATATCTAAAAGTAGAGCTGAAACAAACAAAAAAATCATGTTTTTTGTCCTTTTTTCTGTTGATTATTTGTTTTTATATTTATTTTTAAAGCACTGACCCAAACCTCACTAAGTCCAAGACACACAGTGTAGGAAGGCCTGGTCGAGTCAGCCTGCCAGTACTATGATATTAATGTGGATTATGGGCTAAACATAGAAAATTAGATTACTGTCTCACATTTTATATACACTTTTCACCCTAAAATAACTTTTCTAAAGTGCAGTTATCAGGTTACAATCTGAAGATTTATGGTCTGTGCTTAGTTTCCACACTTTTAAGATCCTAACAGCGCTTCTGCCTGTAAGCACCAGACCCTTATTGCTGTTGGCAGGGAAGCTACGAATGATTACTGTAGTCTTGAGGAACTGTAAATACGCAGCACCGGATCAATATGTCCAAAAACAGCGTTTAAAGGAGGATTTATCGCATCGCGCTGCTCTGCTGCTCCGCCTGAGCGGCAGCAGTGGGCTCCGGCTGTGACGATAATCCGTGACGCAGGTTCGCCCTCCATCAGCAGCCGAGCCCACTGACAGAAAACACCACCTAGAAACCAGGCGAGCCCTCACGATCTGTGGAAATATGTAGTGAGCTCGCACACTTCGTCGTATTTCGTACAACAGAGGGGTTTGGCGGAGCTGGTAAGTCGGATTTTTTTAAACATAAGCTTGATAAATCAGTGTTCTCGGTGCACTCGCTTTGGTTTTCCTGTTTGGAAGCTAGCTAGCTAGTTAGCCGAGGAGCTAACGTTAGCCTAGCCAAGATGACGGCGGTGATGGCGGATGGTGCCCGTTATTCCCAGCTGCGGCGGTGGCATCTGATAGAGAGCGTTGTTTTGGCACGCAGCTTGCTTGAGAACTAGATTTTAGTTAACAGGCATGTGATTGAGTGTGAAACAATGCACTTTGCTCAAAACTGGCTCTGCGTTGAGCTTATTACCTAAAGAGAAAAAGGTCGTGTTGGCAAATGGTAGGTGAAGCTGCTGAAGTGCGTTTCGTATTCACCCAACAAATCCAACAGCGAAAGTTAGCGCAGTGATTGCCAACCCGGATGTACGAACAAGAAACAGACTTCATTCTCTACATCGTAGTCCTGCTAAAGATTTGCAGATAATTCATCATTTATTAGCAGTTTTGACAAAGTCCACAACTCTGGCTGTGTTTCTAACCAGCAGCCATCAAACATTTTGTCGAAACTTGACGACAAACTCTTGAATGAATCACTCTGTTGTTAATCGCTAGCCTGCTAGCTAGCATGCTAACGGTATCGCTAATAAATCTGTGCCCCTCTCTCTCTCCATCCATCAGAGCAGTTACATGGGACGTTACCATGGGTGGTCATGATGATGAAGATATGACATATGTTGTGAACAAACAAAAGCAAGATGAAGAGCTGAAGAACAAGCTGAATGACGGCAGCCACTGGTGCGACCAGGAGTCCACTGGCAACAATGCCAAGTGGCTGAAAGAAGGCCAGAACCAGCTGCGGAAAGTAGCCGAGAACCAACAGGACCAGGACCACAACTGCAATATCAACCAGAATGGAAACAAGGAAGACTTCCCTCACCAGAACACCACTCAGGAAGAACAACAGGGAAACGAGGAGCAGAACAAGTCTCCCAAAATAGCAATGACCCCTGGTCTAAGTCAGGAGGAGTCCAAGAACATCCTGAATGAGCCGCTCCTCATCGACACTCTGGAGTCCACAGAAGAGAAAGATAAAGAGAGAGAAGAGGATGACAAAGAGAAGGGAAACAAATCTGAGGATGAGGAGACATCAGGTGACACCAGAGGAGAAAAAGTGGCCGAACAACAGGGCAACGTGGAGTCCCAGAGAGAGGGCAGCGTTGTGGGGAGGAACGCTTGCCTCCTCTTCTCCAACATGAACGGGACGCCGAGCGATGAAGAGTCCAGCTGGCCTGCGCTGTCTCAGGACAACACGGCCGACAGCTCTCCCAATGGCAACAGAGGTAACTAGAAGTACATGGAGCTGATGTATAGCACACACATTTACAGTGACAGCTTTATGCGTTGCAGCTCGATGTTACAGCTCGCACAGGCAACAACATGCTTTCAGAAAGAAAAAATGCAATCGATGTCATAATAGTAGCAGGGCTGCAACCTACAGCTATTTTCATTGTCAGTTAAACTGTCATATATTTTCTCGATTAATCGATTAGGCATTTAGTGAAACATATTGAAGTATTTCCCGCAGCCCAAGATGACTTCCTCAAATGTCTTCTTTCATCCACAACCCAAAGATATTAAGTTTACCATCATTAGACATCAGAAGATATTCAAATGTTAAAAGCTGGAATTAGAGGTTTTCTGGTATTTTTCTTTACAGATTGCTTTAGCTTTCTAATCGGTTATCTCAATGATTTAATGGCTGACAGCTACTCGTTCATTGTTGAGGCCCTATTTTGTTCACAGTAACATTCTGTGTACAGCAAAGTATAGTGTATTCTATGAATGTCCTTTTCTCAGTAATATGATGAAATTTAGTTTAAAAAATATTGTTCAAACTGTTTCTCACTCTGAAACACTTCAAAGCACTCGGTATACAAGATTTGATCTCAAAAGATATGATGAAATTGGTAACTCGGTTCAGACAATAGACTGCTGGCCATGGTGAGTATTTATCCCTCTGTGTATCTGGATTATCTGATTCTCAGACACCACACCTTATTACTCTCCCATTGTTTCACTGTTAACACCCTTTATGCACGTGTTATGCAATCAGATTTTTTTCCTTATTTCACTCTTGCCTCTTTCTGTCGCAGCCTTCTGAAGTCTTTTTCAGCCTGACAAAAAAAAAAAAAAATCTCCCTCTCATGGTTTACCACTGTGCTCTCTGCCTTTCAGAGTCCTTCTGGGACTCCAGTGCTTTCGAGACGGACACGGACCTGCCTTCAGGATGGATGAGAGTGCGGGACACATCGGGCACGTACTACTGGCACATCCCCACAGGCACCACCCAGTGGGAGCCTCCTTCACCTCTGGGGAAAGTTGGTGACTCCATGATGTCCTCTACTATGTCCCTGGAGACTACCCCCTGCGAGGAACATGAGGTGAGATCTAGTGGGATGTTTTGTTTGGATAGAGACACTCTCATGTTAAACTCCATTTAACAGTAGATTTCGTTGCATTTTCCAGGAATCTTGGACTCAGCTGTCCAGCACGGATGAAGGTGCCGGTGAAGGGGAACTGTGGAAGGTAAGTCGTGACTAGAGAGTTATTCAGCTTACCCACATTTTACAGTCAAAGGTTTAAAATATCCTTTAAACATATATACCAGGGTTTTGGCCAAGGTTTTGTTATAAATTAGAAATGCTTGTAAACTTTTCATCTTCAACTTAAACTGCCATTGTTAACTCTGATGTGTGTCTGCAGGAGGAGGGAGAGGTTGCATCTGATCAAAGTCTGAAGGAGTTTGAAGGAGCAACCCTACGCTATGCATCTATCAACCTGAAGTATGTGGTGTTAGAGCTTTGTGGTTAGTTAGCATTTAGCACATGTTGCCTGTTCTTAACGCTGTCTTTCTTATTTTGTCCTTACAGCTACAATTGCTCCCAGTCTGAGGAAGAGGAGAAGCTGGCTCCACTCTGCACAGATTTAGAAACTAAGGTAAATCATGTGCTTCACACTGGATTTGTGCAGCATGTTTAGAGAAAATTACAGTCTCAGATTAAGTATAAGGAACACTGTCACTGCTTTTGGCATCAGAGCTGGTCTTTGGGTGGAACAATGTGGCTGAAAACTTCTCTGAAACATGATTTATAAAGTATAACTTACTAGTTCTTGCTTATTTCTTTGTACGATATGGAATTGATATTATTTCCATGTTGAAAATATGGATAAATGTATTGCAGCTGGTATATTAAAAGATACCTTATAGATTTTTAAAGGATGAAAAAAACGACATATTTGTTCTTTTTTCATGTTTGCAAGCAATGAGTGTACAAGAGAGGAAAGCAGCAGCATTAACTGTTAATCTAACACCTTTTCTAACTCTGCTGTTTGACACCTTCCCTGAGCTGTCCTGTTTTGCACTAATGTGCTGCATATTTGTCTGGTCAGTGTTTTGCAGTGCGTTCCCTGGGCTGGGTCGAGATGTCTGAGGAGGACATGGCACCTGGCAAGAGCAGTGTTGCCGTCAACAACTGCATCAGGCAGCTCTCTTATCACAAACACAACCTTCATGACACTGCGGGCATCTGGGGAGAGGTGAGAGAGTTTTATTTACTTGCGCAGACACTTTGATGACCCTCTCTGTAATGCACGCTTTAATGTAGATGCATTTGACTTCAGCATCATGTCGATGTATTTAGTGGTTAGTGCCAACCGCCATTAATGTGTTTTGGTTGATGTTATAGATCTCTGAATACATTTTCAAAAGTTTTACTGGCTGGATTGTTGATGGAAAAGAATACTTCAAGTAAAGGTTCAGTTGTGTAATATTGATGTATATGTTACCTGTTTTGAGCCCTGTAACAGGTAAAATGATGTTAAGTCAGGCTGCTCATACAAAACGTGTGTTTGGCCACAGGGTAAAGACATGCTAATGGTCCTGGAGAACGACACCATGAACTTGATTGACCCACTGGGTCAGACTCTGCTTCATGCTCAGCCGATTGGCAGCATCCGTGTTTGGGGTGTCGGCAGAGACAACGGCAGGTCAGTAACCAGAGCTACACAGGATTTAGTTATCTGCTTTCTTAAATATGCCTCAATCGCTACAAAAACACTTTGCATGATCTTTGGCCTGACATATTTATGCTTTATGATTGTAATTTTTAAATTTTATAGTCTATCGTCAAAATGGAGGAAAAGTTTGCTTTTTATTGACATTTTTGCTCACATTTATTATTTGGTGCTGAGTGGAAGCATATCTCTAGTGTGTTCGCTTAAAATTAGGAGTAAACATCTCTGACTGTTTACTGTTGACTAGACTGTCAAGGTTTTTGCTGGAAAAGGTGCAATATTGTTAAATCTCACTTTCAGTGAGATTTAAGTCTAGCTTTAGTCGATGTTTGTGAGACATCCTCTTGACTTGTGCAAGGGCAAGCTGCCTTTTTGCCAATTTTTGTTAATAATCTGCCATTATCCTGTAGAATCTATTCAGCGGCTGGTTCCGATGTACAACAATGTACAGCCTCCTACTGCTATGACTCATTCATGACTGACTCAGAGTTCTTAAAGAAGCCCGTCATTGCCTGCACCTTGTGTGTAGTCTTTTTATTGCATGCTGCTGCTGCCCTCTGCTGGATTGTTCTTAACATTGCGACTCAGATTACTAACAGCTTCTGCCTCTTGCCTGTCTGACTCCTAACAATTGTGTTTTTTCTTTCATGCTGCATTTTCCGTCATGAACAGGGAAAGGTATACGTTAATGATTACTATCCTAAACGTCATTGTTTTGTGCTGTTGCTATTTAGAGTCGTGTGTGTGTGTGTGTGTGTGTTCTATGTGCACATATATTTATTTAAGCTGGCTCACACATTTAAGCCATCCAAGTGGCTCAATATATGAGTGTGACCTTTTCCATCTGATTCCACCTGCAGGGATTTTGCTTATGTGGCTCGAGACAACTTGACCCAAGTTCTGAAGTGTCATGTTTTCCGCTGTGACTCACCTGCCAAGAACATCGCCACCAGCTTACATGAGATGTGTTCAAAGGTCAGCCCTACTTGGATTTAATTTGGTTCCTTTTAAAAATTCTATTCAGCGCCTTGGTTCGTGTTCGACGGGAGAATTCTGTCCTGAAATTCACATATTTTCTTCACCTCGTTTAACTCCAGATAATGATGGAGAGAAAGGCGACCAAGCCAGGGGTGAGCAGGCTGAACTCTGACCCGGGTAAACCTGGGCTCATCCCTGTTGAAGGTACAGCAGAGAGTAAACACTTTGAAGATTCTGATACATTGAATTGTGGAAACTGGTCACATAACGTTTCCTCCTTTCTTAACAGAGTTTCCTGCTCCAAAGAACGAACTCTTCCAGCGCTTCCATGTTTATTACCTTGGTTGTGAGACCGTGGCAAGGCCAGTTGGTAAGAAAACACCTTGAAGATATATAACTGTTTGTGTAAATTTGTCCTCACTGTTTATGATTAGCTGTAGCAACTCTGCAGTTAATGCATTGGACAATGTTTTCTTTGTGTGTTTGTCAGGTGTGGATGTAATCAATGATGCACTAGAGGCAGCAATGAATGGCAAAGATAAAAACGACTGGACTCCCGTCTCTGTGAATGTCGCACCAGCCACCCTCACGATCCTTTCAAAACAGGTAATGGAAAACAAACCCAGCATGACACGTACATTCAAATCAGGGGCAAAATTTTCACTATAAGCCAGTTTTACATGGATGTAGAGCTACGATGAGCTATTTTGATAGTCGACTAATCGGTTTGAGTATTTTTTTTTAAATAACAGAAAAGTCTAAATTGTCTCATTTCTGCTTATTAGGTTTGAATAGTTCCTGATTTGGTTTTGTGGACAAAGCAAGACATTTTAGGAAATTTATTGCGCTTTGGGAAACACTGATCAACATCTTTCACAATCTTATAGAACAAACAGCTTATTGATTAATCAAGAAAATAATCAGCAGATTATTTGACAGTGACACTAATCGTGAGTTGCAGCCCTACAGGGATGTCAGCAGTAATCTTCAGCATCAAATTTACTTACGCTTTCCATTGACTGTTCATGATACTCAGCTTTGACTGCACAGGTTTCAAAGGAAATCTAGTTTGAGATGACCTGATCATGCTACTTTTTTGTCTTCCCATTGAAGTTTTACTTGAGTTTTACTTCCTAAAGTCTCCACGTAGCATGAAAACAGAAGGATTCTCTCATCACTTCGCTCTAATACGCCTTTATAACTTGTTTTATTAAATGTTTTGTTCCCTTTTTGTTTTGTTCGACTGTTTATATTTCTAACTCCAGGATGAGGAGGTGCTGTCGGAGTGCAGGGTCCGTTTCCTCTCTTTCATGGGTGTGGGGAAAGATGTCCACACGTTCGCTTTCATCATGGCGGAGGGTCCCCGAGAGTTTACCTGCCACATGTTTTGGTGCGAACCCAACGCTGCCAGTCTGAGCGAGGCTGTGCAGGCGGCCTGCATGGTGAGTCATGAAAGCAGATGATGAAAGTTAAAAAGATGGACAAGATACTTGAGACGTGTGTTTGTGTAGTTCTGTAAAGATTTCCTTTATTTGTGTCCCGCAGTCAAAAGCTAATCTGGTTGTTTACATGCAGAGTCCAGTGTTGAGTCTCGTGTCAGTAAAACTCTGTTTATGCTCCGTGTGTTTTTCTATTTACAGCTTCGTTACCAGAAATGTCTGGATGCACGTCCGCCCAGTCTAGCCTCCTGCCTGCCCACTCCTCCTGCTGACTCAGTGGCTCGACGGGTCAAGAAAGGGGTGCAGAGTCTGCTGGGCAGCTTTAAGAGCTACAGGTCAGGTTCTCAGTCCCCTTGAGTCGGAGCGAAGATGATCCATTAAACCCAAGGTCCATCACAGCAGCCCCTTCTCACTCTCACTGCTCCTCCACCTCTCATCCTTCTGCCACAGTTTCGCCTTACGACCGTTTCACTTGTCTAGTCGCTCGTCTAGTGCGTGGAGTAGTTTGTGGGGGAAATGTGTGTCTGAAAAGGTTGCATTTATCTCTTTTTATGGCTTTTACTTTATACAAGAATTTTAAACTCTCATCTCCAAACAGATGAACCCCTGGCATCAAATGTTTTCTTTGCTGGGATTCCTTCTGTGAGTCTTTACTATTTTTGTGTTTTAACAGAAACAATGCTATGAATGTTGGATATGGATGTAATATATTTTACATGCAGACGCTAGAATTTGATCGATTGACTCCCCTCACAGAAATGCTCTCATCCCCTTGTCCTCCTCGGTGCAATTATCATCTCGAACACTCCTCCTTTTCTACTGTCTCAAGAACGTACTGTAACGCAGTCGTCGTCACTCGGTGTCAAACATCCCAGTACTGACTTTCTAAAGCATCGCCGCACCTCTCTCCACCACCTTAGGTTGTAATACAAGCGCTGTAGGCGTGTCAGTAGTGTGCCACGTAGTTATGTCCCTGACTCTCCCAAACAATGTATTTTAGTCTTCCAAAGAACTGTACGGTCATCTGTCACATAGTGAGCAACCACTGATTTGAGTGTAGTGTGTTTCTCATTCATTCTGCATGAACATTTGCAAGTTCAGTGCTAGTGTGCAATAATCAGATGTTCCAGTGTGGTGTGGTGATACGATGGCTGCCATGCGATTATCTGTTCACTTTAATGAGAGAGTCTGAGTAGACTGGGTGTGAGGCTAATGGAACAACAGAGCCATGTTGAAAATCATTATCTTGTGATAGATATAATAGTAATAAAAAATACAAACTCTGGGTTTTCTCACAGCCGTTTATCACCAACAACTACTGAATAGTACTGTAGAAACTCACCACAAGCTGCATGTTTTGATAGCTTAGAGTTATTGCTGCTTGCAGCAGTGTAGTGCTTAAGAGCCATCAATGTATCCTGTAAATTCTTTCTCTGTGTTTCTGTACGGTAAGAGGAGGCTGGAGGTGATGTGTTGTTTCGTGTTACATAGGCATGTCACTCTAGTTAGTGTCAGTGTTTATCATAAGCTAGCAGTAGAAAGTTAGACTTCCTGTCAGTTCCTTCAGACTGAAAAGATGAGAGCAGGTCAATGTCTGTATTTACAGTTTGTGTAAATGGGAAACCTAGAGATGATGTCTCCAGTGGTTTACATTTTTATTTTTTCCTTGGCCACGTTTTGACGTGTGTGTGTGTGTGTGTGGGCCCCGGCCGCTCCAGTTAATGTATTTTTTATTGTTTCCACACACGACAATGTACACAATTAAGATGATTTTCACGTTAGCTCGTTAGATTTAGTTTTTATAAAGAACACACTAATTAGCCAAGTTGTATTTTATCTTTGTGTGTCTGTCAGTGATCAATACTGTATGTAGCACAATAGTAATAGTCATCTCTAATATTAAAGATGCAGTTTGTAAGATGTTTTGGTAACTTTGATCTCTGCAGGGCATTTATTTGGCCATGTTGTCTGAGTCATTAGTAGCTGATTATGAAGCACCCTCAGGCTAACTGACCTCACTAAAACCAGAAATCTGTTTTACATTAAATGTATCACTCAACTAAATAACAACTACTAACATTAGGAAAGGAATCCAGAGTTCAAAGTTTCTTTTAGTAAATAATAATAATAGATATATTTTATGAAACACTGATTTCTAAATACCCTTTTGCATACCAATGCACATCTACGGTCTAAAATTAGACCATTTTAAAATATTTTTAATCATCTCACTCATTGAATTGCTTCGATTCGAGCAATTAGTTTTGTCACCTCCTTAAAGTTCAGGCTTTTTGAAGTTATTTCTGTATCGCTGAAAGCTGAAACCACAAGAAGGAGTGCTAAATAAAGTTTGAAACTTGTACAATGTATAGCTGCTAAAATATAATCTAAACTCGGAACATAAAAACACATCCGAGTTCAGACAAATGTGACGCTGCTGTTTGAGACGGATCCCCAAACAGGAAGCTGTCGTGGAGTCTGTCCTGTTGTCTTCATCCAGGTGTGGAAGCAAAAACTTTCACTCCAGTTGCGGCACTAAAACTCTCACCAACTGCTTCTTTATATGTGTAAGTTATAACACTAATGAAAATTAGACTACACTGACTCATATTACTGCCTTGTCACTCACGTGTCACTTGGAATTATTGTGCTTTCTCTCCTTCAAAGATTGCTGTGTCCAGTCAGTGGCAACACTAAAGCCAGACGAGTTAAAAGAACATTAGCAGATTAATTTATTTCTGTTCATGTAAATTAGGTGTATAAAATGTATGTATATAAAAGTCACTGCACAATAAATGTGAACATATCATAACTGTTTATCTTGTGGTCTTTTAATATGGCGATTTTCCTGGGCGTCTCTGGGGAGATTGGTTTCCAAAGGGCAGGCCTCGATCCTGCAGCCTGAAAATGTCTCCTTTGGTTTCTGGCTGCAGGAGCGTTGAATTATTTTTTTTTCATTTGCTATCTATTGCTTTGTCCGTCATTCCAGCTTTTCCATTAAAATGTAGAAGAAGCCACACGCAACCTGTCTGGCCTCTCTGAATTTATAATGAAGCTGATGACACTGGTTTTAGCGTATGTATTGACAGAGCGGCCACACGGCGCATTAACAAAGGATCCTCCTCCCCTACTGGAGTCACCTGTTCAGCTCATATCAGCACTGCTGCCCCCACCTGGTGAGTTCAAAAGGATGGGCCGGGCTGCTTATTGTTTCCCTAAGAGATGGCTTTGGAGATGAAAGGTTCACATCAAGTGGAAGCCACAGCAGCCGCAGACTGGTAATAATAGGCTCTGCCATCTCCACACAAATATGTGCGCTGCCCTGCCAGCGGGATCCTGCAGCAGTCGGACAGATCAAGGCCCAGACTGTAATCGCTTCCTATTGAAGCGACCGGAGTGATGGGCGACTGATTGACTCCGGTGTGTTTAGATTAAAGACTTGTGCCGTTCTCTGTCCTGCCACACCGAGTTAAATATTTCAGGGGTGTTTCTTAGAACTAAAATTACTTCTTGTGTAATACACTGCAAATATTGCTCAGGTTCTGACAAAAGGACTCCAACTGTGGAGTGTTTTTTTTTTTTTTTTAACCATTTCTTGACACATGTAGCGAATATTTACCATTTATCAGATACACAGCGAAACTGATGCTGTCGAATTCAGACACCAGCAATAAAATCCTAGTTTATTGAAGGTTATGTTGTTCAGTTTTAGTTTAAACTGATACTGAACATTTAATTAACTCTTCCTGACTAATTCAGTTCCAGGCACACACCGGCAAATGTGAAAATATTTGCATGTTCCGAGGTTTAAGAGAGCAGTTTATAGCTGTGGATGATATTTTTTTTATTTATGTGTTGTCTGTCAGTCAAATAGAAAGTCCTTTTGTTCCAATACTTTGGTGCAAACTAACAATACAGACTAAAAATCAAAGAAGAAACAAACAGTTGACTCTCCAAGTCTCTGGAACTCTACCAGAGAGATGAACCCTCTTCTTCCAAAGTATATTCCCTCATTCAGTGCTTTGATGGTGGTAGTGGAGAACGCTGACTAACACGTCAGTTCAAATTCTCCCACAGGTGTTAAAAACATTGAGAGTGGTCCCTCATTCTCTATGGATGGAGGCGTTGGCATCCTGGAGGAAATTACTCTTGTCAGGATAGAAACAACTTTGTATTGATTTGGAGTGACCCTACCATCTGGAGGGACGAGACGACTGCCAACAGAGCCACCAGGTCCCCTCAGCGTAGAGATCAAGGATTCAGGCTTTTCCTCTAATTTGTCTGTATTTTGCAACGACATAATGGACTGCATGAAATGTGGTGCAGATATCCGTGATGACAAAGCGGCCTGCGGACTTTAGTGACCTCCTGACGTCTAATCCAGCACCATAAGCAAGTCAAAGTATTCTCCTGTTCAGTAAAATAGTTTCATATTTATACTATTCCCAGTCTTGTCGCGTGTAGATTTAGCAGCATATAGCCCCTCACCACGGCCTTCCTTTCAATGCGTGTAGGAGAACCTTCAGTCGTTGCTAGAAACGCTGTATAAAGTCAGTGTTTGGTTTGTCCCTTCTGGGCTACTGTAGAAACATGGTGGAGTCCAGTGGAAGAGGACCAGCTCATCCTCAGGTAACACAATGATTCTTATGCTGTGTTGTGTTTACCTCTAAAGCAGGAGGTGTGAATGACATTACTTGTAAGTTTATCGCAATACAACAAGTAAGAAAAATGAAGCACATCTCCAGGGAAACCTTTGTTTTAAGGTCAGCCATTGTGAGTAATATCAGTTAATACAACACATTAAATTGTGTTTTACACATACACACACTAACTATAGCAACGCATCCACACATAGAAGTTAGACAGTCCAATGTGTACGTTTCATTAAATGAAACGGAAATAAGACAGAAGTGCTAATAAACAGCCCACTACCACTCTCACTACTTGCTGAGCAGCCATCTTGGATTTGAAGGTTGGAGTTGCTGAGGTCCTTCTGGCTCTCTCAGTTCAAAGACTTTCCAGTTCATATGGAGCACAGTGGCAGCTGGTGGTTAGAGCAAAGTATGAAGCATCAAATTATAAAACCAAAAAAGGTTTGGTGGCCCAGAGGCACGGTCCCCCAGGAAAAGAAAAGATGAAAAGTGAGCCCCTAAATGGGGACTTCTGTTGAATTCTGGGGACACAGATGCACATGGGAGAAGTTTGCCTTCAGGGTTTTGTGGTGGAAAGACTTTCTAAGCGCTGTTTGTACAGGAAAGGTAGCTCCACTTGTTCCTTTTAAATGCTCATCTACCAGGATGCAAATGTTCCATTTAAACAATTCTACCGTCATTATTTTGAGTGAACACTGTACTTACATCCTGTTCTTAGCATTGTCCAAGAAGATTGTAATTGGTTTAAACAAATACAATCACACCAGGGCTGCTTTCCGGTGTAGTTTCCCAATGCTGGAGAATGATGTGGCTGCACCTCATTGTTATTCTGCTGTATGGGGAAAAAAATCTGTGACAGGGTTGTATTTCTTTAAATCAATCACAGTCATCTCGGGCGGTGCTCAGCCCAGGATGCAGTACTGGTGCCCCTACAAAATAGCAACGGGTAAATTATTCATTTTTATGCACGATCCAAGTCAAATATCGAATTTTTTGTTATTGTAGGCTGCTGCTTGGAGGTTTTTGTTTCCCACAGTGAAGTAGATTTTAAAAACAGCAACGTGTAGATAGCAGAAGGGGAGGAAAAAGCCATACAGAGACACAGGCAAATAATGAGTCGTTAAATGTCATAGATATGCAGTTTAAATCCATTTTTTTGCCTCACTTCAGTGATTTTCGTTTTAAATTAGGCACTGCTTTATCTGCTTAAACAGTGGAGCCGCCCCAGTCATGCCTCGCTGAAAATATAATTATACATATTATACTCTATTTTTTGGCAGTCGTTCCCCCCCAAATCTGACACATTGGACCTTTAATTTTCCTGTAGCACCACCATGATGTTGACATTTGTGGTTTTTCGCAGAATGTCACAGCAGCTTTTGGATGGATCGGTCTGATATTTCCACATTTGCGTCCCTCTCAGGATAATTTATAATAAGCTGGTGCTAATTAGCAGATGCACATATGCTAACAGCCTAAATTAAGATGGTAAACAACAGGATGTTTTGTAATCGAGAGCAGCATGTTTAGCATTTATCTCAAAGCGGTGTTGTGCCAAAGTGCAGCTTCAGAGAGATGCAAGCCCGGCTGTAGACTCTCGTCTGCGTCCCAAACCCAGACTGCATACTAATTCTAATCAGGTATTAAATATTGAAGTCCGTCGTTCTGGGAAACTGCTCCCCAAAAAGTAGACCTAAAATAGAAACAGTTCCAAGAATATATCAAGAGAGAGAGACAGGAGTGGAGTTTCTGCCTTTGCACGTATTGGGAATGAACAGCTTAACATGTTGATTTATCATATTATCACTACAAGAACAATATCTGCAGCTGCGTGTAATGTAACGCTTTCTTCGACTGTTTATTCTTCACACAAAGCACACAGCGGTTGTGTATTGTAAAGCCCGGATTATGAATGTGCGGCGGTGGCATGTTTACAGCCACTCATGCCCTAAATCCCTTTGTCGCGTCTGTCTTGGGCTGCGCTTTATTGTGATGCCACGTGTGTCCATGTATCTCTGAAGCCAGATTTATGCAGTCCGTATTTGCCGGGTGTCAATCACAATTTACATAGGTCGGCCCATGGAGAAACTAATCACAATTATAATTATTCCTACAGCCTAATTATGCATATGGCATTTGTTTAATGGAGATTTATTTTGAGTAATGAATGTGTAGTCTTGTGGAACATTGCTTTTCCTCTTTGGTGTGGAGGAGAGGACTCGTGTCTCCTCTGCTCGGCTCTTCAATCTAATCACCAATCTCAGGCGAGATAAAAAGAGCCGGTGCAAGCTTCGTCTTGAACCTGGTATCAAGGTTTGAGAGAGATGATGGAAATCCCTGCAGGGGCGCAGCCTTTCCAACTGATTCGTATTGCTGGAATACACCCCTTTGTACAGAGATTCTCATATCCTATACAGCCTCCTTTGGTGGGAAAAAAAAACCTACACAGTGCTTACCTATTGTGATTTCTGGTGTTATTTTTTTTATTTTTTTTAGGCCTACTCCTGTGTTCTGCAGAAATCTGTGCTTCTTTTGATGGCACCGCTGAGTGCTGAGCTTTGGTCAGGTCCACAACAAATCAAACATGGCCACAGGAGATGTGTGAAGGCACAGAGTTGGATCACCAACAAAGAAAAACCAAAAAGGAGAGGGCAATACTTTCCTGCCACTATAGAGACTGCTATAACAAACCAAGTTATGCTTCTGCCTCCAAAACCATCCAGATACATTAAAAAACATGGAATGACAGATAATGGGGAATAAACGGCAGATAATACAGATGCAAGACACAAACGGTGGTATAGTCTCTGTTAGCGCCCTGAGCCATTCATCTGGGGATTAAGCAGTCGGATCTCAAAATGTTCAGTAATTCATTCTCTCCCAAATAACACAGTGATTGCTTTGCCAGTGGGAGCAGCCAGCAGCCCGCCGGTGTCTGGATAATCGTTTCTCCAGTGGTCCTCCAGCGATTCCAGCAGCTCAGCGGTCGTTCAGTAACACTTCAGTACACACCAATCTGACAGGAAACCGCGGCCCTGCACTGTAGCATGCAGCATGTGATGCATGACCCGGGCCGTAAGCTAAACCAAATACCCAAACACATCTTGCATTTTGAGACTGATAAATTTTAAATTCACCCACAAAGCAGAGCACATCTTGT